CCTAATCAGGGAAAGAATACTGGGAAGGAAACAAAGCTGGCACTCAGTTGTCTCAGTGATCCCCCCGAGATCTGCACTAGACACCTCTTGTTAGCAGCATCATTCATTTTTTAAGACCCACATCTCCCATGGATACACATTCCAGTAGCAGCCCTGGCTCCTGACCCAGAGGCACCTGCTGTGGTCAGTGGTGGAGCTCAGAGTGCTCCAGGACGTGGCAAACAGCAGGGCCAGCACAGGGGCTGTCAGAAATCTCATGGCTCCTGGCCACCAAACCTGCACGTGCAGCTTGTGGGATGTGCAGGATTGGCCAACTCTGACCTACTTTTCCCAGGCTGTTTGGCTGGAAAAGGGAAGGAGTTTGACTTGTTCTCCCCTTGCAGCTCCCTTGCAAAAATCAGAACCCACTCCAGGAAGTGCCTTATCTGATGACACTTCCCCAGGAGTCGTAGCTAAGCCAGGGGACAGGACCAGCCAGCTGTGATCCTGGGAACAGCTGGATGAGCCCTGGATGAGCTGCTGTAACACCAGCTCTAATGCAAGCAGGCAAACCTCCAATTCCTCCCACTGCAGGCCAGGTTTAAAACCCTGCACACCCCTACCCAGGCTGCTCTAGACTGCTGGGACTCGGGCTTTAACGAGGCCAGGGTCAACCTCAGGAGCTCTGGCTGATGTGGCTGATGGTGAACAGGCACCACACCAGTTCAGCCTAACTGCAATGGAAATGCATCTTTTATTCCAACAGGGAAGACAGCAACTGGGATAGAAGCTAAGCACCACTGTCACAAGCTATCAAACTTTAAACTTTCTCGAGAAAAGATTTTTGGTTTCCCCCCCCCCTTAAAATGGCCCAGAATTACAACTGTTCATTATCAAAGCATCAGAAGTAGTTGAAGCAGGTAAAAGCTGCAAAACCAAAACAGGATTAAGCAAGATTAGCAATCATTAAGAGCAGAGTCATAAAACTGGTTTCCTCTGTAGATGCTTCCATTTGTTTTGAAAGCCATTATCCTGAAATGGATCATTAAAGATACAAGACAAATTTTACAGTGCTTCCTTTGACCAAATTTTCCACCAAGCTCCCTGAAAATCCAGAAGGGGAGAGATGCTAGGGGAAGAAAAACCAGTTTGCAAGCATTTCTCTTCCACAATACTGCAGTTTGGGATTCTGGTCATTTTTCTGCAAGTCCTTGTGCTGTCCTGGAAGAAAGGAAAGGCTCTACAGTTTGGGTGGCATCTGAGCAGACTCAAAACTAAACATCTACTATACAGGAACACACTAGAGCAGAGGCCAGATCTTTTCCAAGAGCTCCAGTCAGAGAAGTGATTTTACAAAGGCTGGAATCAGTAGAAAGCTGTGATATTTCATCTTGTAATAGTTTATGTGGCAGGTTTTGGGCAGCAAGGGAACAGAATCCGAGAGTGGTTTGGGTGGGAAGGGACCTCAAAGCCCATCCAGTCTCACCCCCTGCCCTGGGCAGGGACACCTTCCACCAGCCCAGGTTGCTCCAAGCCCTGTCCAACCTGGCCTGGGACACTTCCAGGGATCCAGGGGCAGCCACAGCTTCTCTGGGCCTGCCCACCCTCACAGGGCAGGATTCCTTCCTAGGAAGCTTTTTTGTCTCTTTTTGTGTTAAACCTTTTTTGTGCCAGTTCAGCTGGCTCGGCCAAGCATGTGTATGTGACAGGTGGCACAAGGGCTGCAGCAGGACCACCAGAAAGAAGGGAAGGTCAAGGGGATAAAGTGGGTTTAGTTGTATTTCTAATTATCCTACTTTGTTAATTGGCAGTAAAGGGCAGGAATTTCCTCCAGTTGAGTCTGTTTTGCCCATCTCAGTAAGAGGTGAATGGTCTCCCTCTCCTCATCTCGACCCAAAGAGAGCCTTTCATCATCTTTTCTGCCCCGTATTGTTGATGGCAGGGGAGTGACAGAGAGACCAGCCAAGGTCAACCCACCAACATCTGCTGCAGTTACTCAGCTCATAAATCTTCCAGCCTGTAAAAGATGCAGCCAGAAGAACTGAACACAGTGAATAGAGCAGTCACTAAACCAGAGTTTAAATCTCTGTAAAGCTGCATCACCTGGATGTTGATGGGATGATATTCTGGACTGAGATAATCACCTTGACAGAGACACCAAAAATCAAAGCAGGTTAAATCAGTAAAGAAAACACTTCTATACTAAGGCAACAGTAAATGGGCAGACACCTGAAATAAGAAAGGATTTGAATGAACTGCTGGAAAATAGGGTCTGCTCTCAGACTTCTTTTGCCCCCTCCCTTCCATGCTGTGTGATGAGTTCTTACAGTAAAGCTCATTTATCATCCCCACACATTCTGCATTCCCAGAATGACAAACTGGTCAAAGCACGCTAACTTCCTTCACGTAGGAAAAGCAGCTGGATGGAAAATTTCTATTATGCAACTATTGCCATTTTGGTTTATTTTGATGTGCTCTGTCAGTGAGTAACAACAGCAGCTACTGTAGCTCAGCTACTCAGATCCTGGGATGACCAAGATTCGGATCTGGTTGCTTGTCTTTGTCAGATCACCTCACAAAAATGTTAACTCCCAGACATAATGGGAAATCACAGCCAAACAGAGAGGGCTGGAGGCTGTCCCAGCTCCAGCTTTCTCTGCTGCTCCACCACCCAGATCAGCCAAGGCACTAAAAATAAGTCTTGAATCAGCAGAGCTGCCTGTGTGACCTGTTCACTCATGGAAACGCACTGCCTGTGGAAGCTACAGTGCAGTGGGCACCTGTGACCTGGGTTTAAGGATGACACAACCATTTACACTCCCCATTAGCAAAGAGCTCAATAAATCTTGAAAAACATGCTTAAAATATTGCCTGGGCTCAAGGAGACAGAACTCAGGGCTCCATGCCCATCCATACCACACCTTCCAGCTAAAACTCCTTGAGCAGGGACAGAGTTCAGAGCCTTAAAATGAAAATATCACACAAGGCACTTCAGCATATTTAATAAACTTAGACTGATCCAGATTTTTCAGAGTAAGTCCTGGAAAAACTGATATGGCAAAAAGAACAGAAAACCATTACACAACATCCCTCATGTTCCCCCAGGCCTCCATCACCACCACAATGTAAAATTCTATCTTGACCCCAGAACAAAAACAGCAGGAAAAACCAGGGGCAATCCACCAGAAGAGCCAACAGCTTAGTAGGGTCCGTAATGGGACAGTGTCCAGGAAGGGTATTCAGGTACCCACCCCAACCACATCACAGCCACCCTTCCTGGCAGTGATTCCTGTCCTTGAGACAAGTTCAGAAACTCCTTCCACAAGTTCCAGGTTTGGTAAATCATATTAAAAAAAATATATATATATATTCACAGCTTCAAGCATCTCTCCTCAGTAATTAACATGATCGCTGATCTGATCAAAAGAGCTCCCAGGCTCCAAGACACAAAGCTTTGTATACAAACAGGAAACAAAAACATTGCTCACTTTCCCAAAATAAAAACAGACCCAGCGATCTGTTTCTCTCCCTTTGGGAGATTTGCCAGGACTCCAAGAACCAGCCCCAGGAACTTGGAAGCTCCCTCAGAGATGCCCCAGGCTACAGAGCTCTGGGAGCTGCCTCAGACAGGAAGCCAAGCAGCTTTTGGTGGCCCTTAGTTCTGACAGGTTTTATCAAAATAAAATGTTCTTCCTGAGCAGCTTTTTGGTTTTGATGATTTGCAAAGATAAGAGGGTGGGTTTTTTGAAAAAAAAAAAAAAAAATTACATTGATGGATTGCACTTGGAATGTATTCTATAGGAATACGGTAGACAAAAATGCCACGGTCTTCTGGCTTTCTTCACCCTTTCCCCACTCCCTTTAATATCATATCATATCATGGGGTCCCCTCTTCAACCTCCTTTATTCTTTTCCCATGTTCCCCACACTGTCTCACAAAAGAGACTGAGAACCTGTGTTTTCCATCTTCTCACACACACAAACCTGTGGGCTCCCTGTTCCACTCTTCCAGCACTTCTCCTGAGCTTTTTTTGTATACAGATTATATAAATATGAATATACACACCCCACTGCATCTTCTCTGGGTGTTCTATCCTTTACCCCACAGGAGATGTTTAATAGATGCCAAATTCCCTCTTCTTCCCTTCACCAGGGCTCTCCCCTCTCTCCTCATACTTGGGGCTCTTGAACATTGCCCTTCCAAGTGTCCTCCCCCCCAGTTTTACTATCAACAGTAAACTTTCATCCTGAAAGCTCACTGTTAACCCACGGAAGCAAAGCTGAGTGTCAGAGCAGGAGCTGGAAAGCCCAACCTCAGCCCTGGGCTGTGCCAGGCTCTGCTTGGAGTGCCAGGGAAAGGCAGGGATGACCTGGCAGCAGAGCAGTTAGACCTGAGGAAGTGGGAATATTCTTTCTGCAGATTCAGCCAATATTCTCTCCCTCTTCCCCCCTTTAGAGCAGAGTTTTCATGGGCCGTCCTTCCTGGTGGTTTCCTGTTCAGCTACCCTGCCCAGCAGCCTCACAGAAAGAGGAAGAAGTGCTGGTGTCATGTATCTCCCCACCACAAGATCTGCTGACCCATTTTGGGTTGGTTTTTTAAGTGGCTTTTACTTTTTTCTCCTTACTGCACTGACTCAGCAGAGCTCTGGGGCTCCTCTCCTTTGACGTGTTCCCACCAGCAAACCACAGCCTTCTGAGGCAGCAGCAACTGCCAGCTCCACTGGACTCACACAGCGAGCCAAAAAGCTAATTGTAGGTGTTGCTTGTCGTAGGCAAATGGTTTACAAGTCACTCAGCTCTTCTGGATCAGTGGAAAGAAGGAGCGGCAAATGTGCTCCCTGAGTGAGAGTGAGCAATGACACGGGGACACTGCCCCGGCTCTTTAACGAGACAGACAAAAAACCACCCCCAGCCCAGGGACAGCCACTTAACCTACGGCAAGCTGGATGTGTCATCACCTCCCCCTGCCTACGGCAACGGGCTGGGGTGGGGAAAGAGAAAATAGAAAGAGAAATACTCACGCATGTCACCAATGGCTCCCTTGGTGACATTTGTGGCTTTCCTTACTGTCACAGTGAATATGTGTGAGTACTGGTGCTCCACCTGCAAGTCAGAGAGTTAAGAGGTGATTAAGCTCCAGAACAACAACAACAACGACAACAACAACAAAAAAAAAAACCATCTATGAAAACAGGTTTCATTTTGTCCAAGAACAGAGAGAGGGGAATCACCCAGGCAAAACGTAAGGGAAACTCATACTGGATAGAGCATCTCAAAGCTGAGCTGCACCCTGCAACTTTCCTGGGAGGTCAGACCTTGCACTGGGGCTGCTGGATTTTCCTGCAGCCACACCTACTAATCTCAATGAATAACACTCCTCCTCTCCACACAACCCGCTCCGAGGCATTTAGTCAGTCGGGGGCAGCTGGATACGGGAAGGAAAAAATAAAAAGGGGTTATTTTACAGCTTGTCTGTGTAATTACCTTCCCCTGGTACGAAGAACAGGAGGCATTACTTCCAAGTATGTGTTGTGGAGCAGATAAAAGCATACTGCACATGCAGGGGATGGAGTGAGTGATGCCTGGAGTGTACCTTTTAGCACACATCAGTATTCAGCGTGAAAGCATCCTCAGGACAATGTAAGGAAGGTGAAAACCCAGCTGCTAAAACATTCCCCAGCATGTTTCAGGCGGTTTCTGGGGGTTCCTGTTTCCTGCAAAGCCCAAGCACACAGCAGGAGCAGGTCCCTCCTGAACAAACCAGGGAAGCGGGAAAAGATGTGAAGTTAAGAAACAAAAAGTAAAAAAAAATAAAATAAAATAAAATTAAAAAAAAAAAAAGTCACCAACTCATATCTACTGTTGTTTTATCTACATAGCCATAAGTTTGAGCAACTCTGAGAATGACTAGTGCATACTGCAGGGCAGACAACAGTGCCTTTCCAGGGCCAGAGCACAGAGATGGTGGGTCTGTCTGATGTGCTGAAGGCAGGAGCAGGTCCCCCCACACTTCCCTCTCAGCCCTTACACCTCCACTGCTATCCGAAAAGCCTGTCTTGGGACACTTGGGCTGTCTGGCTGCCCACAGTGCCCAGACACTGAGTCACACCCTGCTACAACACACCTCAGGTTCGCACTTCCAGCACTGAAACAGGGATATTTTCTATCTTTCCCTCACCCCCTATTAACTTTGTGATGTACATGGCATATCAGTCATTGGGACCAAAACAACTAGCCAAGCATCAAAGGTCTTACAACATATTCCAACCAGAAGGAAAAGGGGGAAAGACCAGAATCAGGAAATTCACTGGAATTTATTTAAAACCATAAACAATGCCCTTGGTATGGGACATGCTTTTCAGGCTGTGCCTGGTGCTTTCTTGCTATGTTTTCATCCGGACACTTTGTTTTTTCAAAACTGGTTGTTCCAGCCAAGCCTCATTATTTCTCATCAACAACTCACCCACAGAGTCTAGAACAAAACTGGACCCCTCTAACACAAATTTTTAAAAAAAAAAATAAAAAAAATTGTATCTTAGATATCATTTCCTAAAAAAAACAAAAAAGCCAAAACCAACTAGAGATGCCAAAAGTGGCTTGTGAGTGTTTAAGTACTAGTGGAGTCAGGATACATCAAAAAGCAACTCAAATGATACCAACACCAATCCCTCCACAATCCCGAGGCCTGTGAAAGCACAGCCCCATCCCCACGGCAAAGCATCCAGGAAAGACTGCCCACGGTGATACCAAGGGCTGGGTTCACTGCATCACTGCCTGACCCAGACACTGCAGGTTGCAGCTTCCTTTGGCTGCAGTAACCCCGGTGTTGTGACAGCCAGAGGCTCCATCCGTGACTGTGTGCCCAGCAGCACAGCTCAGCTCCAGGATTCCTCCCTTGCCAGCTGCAGGGGCTGTCTGGATCAAGGAACAAGGCAGCAGGCAGGGAGAACTGTGGCAGTGCCAGCTATTACCCTACAAGTGGTGCACTGAAAGCGTCCCACCACAGGAGAAGTGGAATTCAGCTGTGCCTGATCCTCCCAGCGGGGCTGTTCGCTCACCTCGGAAGCACCAAACCCAAAAGAAAGGGTTTAGGTGTGGGAACCCACAGCTGGGAGGAACCAACACCTACTGAACAGCCTGGCCTGTGCTGGCACGAAGACATGCCCAGCATTCTACGGCATCCATCCCCTTCTACAGCTTCCATGAGTGCATGGATGAACGGGAAGGAGGATGTGACCCCTCCGTGAATAAATTTCTGCCTCTGCCATGGGGCAAAAAAAAAAAAAAAAAAAAAAAAATCCCAGAGTTTTCCATGACAGCAAGGTAAATGGGGATTTAAGTGGCTACCTGGGGAGAGCTGGTTCTATGTGAACACAGTTATGTGAAGTTCTGTCATTCACCCTGCTCAAAGAATTTTTACAAGCTGTGAATCTCCCAAAGCTAACAGCTCTTGCTATCCCCTGTTTTCAGTTTGCTGCTTCAAAACACCCCAAGCTGCTTTATCAGCGTGTGCCACCTTCACACACACGTCAGGTTGATGGAGGGTTGGTTTCACAACCCGGCACTGGCCTCAGTTTGTTCACAGACTGATGTATTTCCTTTGTCACATGCAACCTTGTAATTAAAAGAAAACAGCCCAAAGTACAAACACACCACCCTGTCTCTTTTTCCCAGCTCTTAAGAAAGGGCTTGTCCTCACTGGAGACCACAAATCAGAGATCACCGAGCATTTAGCAACGAGGAGGAGGAGGAGGAGGAGGATGGAGTTCTAATTAAATGACAGGATGGGACACGGGTGTGCTGCATTCAGCTCTCAGCTGATACATGAAATCCAGGTGCAATTCTGGTCCTCGGTGGAAAATGAGGAGCCTACACGACGCTTCCTGACAAAAAGCACTCTGAAAGGTCATTTTCTTGCCATCTCCCAGTCCTACTCATGAAATTTATATGCCTAAGTAAAATGCCTACCACCAAGCCACCACTTACCAATGCATTCTCATTCCAGCAGGACAGAGATCATCACTATTTCTGTTACACAGCAATAACTGTTTTGGTAAACATTTACACTATCATGAAAACTGATTTTTTATTGACTGAAACAGCAACCCCCCCCCCCCCATTCCAGTTGTTGTACTGCCAGGAAAGTCGAGCCTGGTTAAAGATCTGGGATCCTCTGAAAGGAGCTCAAGTACACAGAGGCCTGGCAAAACTGGAAAACATTCTCTCCTTTCCCCATTCCTCACACGGAGGATTATAAAGAGTTATTAATATTTGAACGTAACCACATACTTGGAAGAAATTTGTAACTGCTAAAGTAAATCATCTCCCTCTTTGTAAAGAGAAAACAATACAGAGATACACAGGAAGCCCCAAAGTCCAGATCTCTTCTTACACCAAAATAAACGTTTTTCACGCAACTTAAATGCAGTGGGAAATAAAGGCAATTTTCCACTTAGGATCCAGTTTCTAAGGGGATTAAAAGGACTAAATGTCCACATTTCAGAAGCATTTTTTGCTTAGGTTTTCGAGTGACTTCTGAAGACGTCAGATGCCCCCCTGGAAACATCACAGGAAATGTATTGACTCTGAATGCCTCTACAAATCCAGCCCTTGCTGCTTTAGATGACTAAGCTGCATTTTCTCAAGTGACTTATGTTCACCTTAAATCTTGATAAAAATCTGTACATTGCCAACTCCTCAAGTACTTCTGAAAAACAGAGGATGGTAAATAAATCACTTAAACCTTGCAACACTGAGTGGAGCAACATCTGCATTCCTTTAAAAATCGACAACAGGTTACAAATTTCAAAAGCTCACAGTTAATTCTAGTGGAAGGTGTCCCTGCCCATGGCAGGGGGTGGAATGAGATGGGCTTTAAGGTCCCTTTCAACCCAAACCATACTGGGATTCGATGAGTTTAGAAAACTCAAAGCTACCAGCCACAGTGGCCTTGCCTTACAGGTGCCTTTTATCTCACTTCCTCTTTGTCCATGAATTTAGAGAAGAAAGGAGAGAAAAGCTTTCAACCTGCCCTCTCTGAGCATGGGGTTTCTAAATTATGGGACTCCTGTGGACAGTATTCACTCTACTGGTTCAGTACTGGTTCTCACCCAGCTGGGCACTGCCCAGGCTCCCCAGGGCAGTGGGCACAGCCCCAAGGCTGCCAGAGCTGCAGGAGGGTTGGGATGATCCTCTCAAGGCACCTGGTGCGACCCTTGGGGATGGGCCTGAGCAGGGCCAGGAGCTGGACCTGATGATCCTCGTGGGTCCCTTCCAACTCAGCACGTTCTGGGATTCCAAGTATCCTGCCCAGTCACGATTCAGCATCTCCTGTTCTCACCCACCTTTCCAGCTCTCCTAACTCCTCCCCCTGCCTCCTTTGTTCCTCCCTCACCTTTGCTTGCTTTCCTCCCAGTAAAATTTCCCCAGTTATCTGCTTTCCTCCCTTTAACATATTTCACATCTTTTACACATTTGTGAGCACACAAACACCATCACCTTCCCACTCCGGGGCTGGGAAACAACCTCACACCAAAGGCTCCCGTAACACGGGCGGGTTTTTACCTACAGACTTCCCGGACTTGCCACTGAGGAGGAATTTACGTGTATCCAATATCGTATTTGTGTATTCCAGAATGCTGAGTCACAGAACACAACTCCAGCAGGACACGGCCTTGCACACCAAGCCCCATCAGGAAGCTCTGGCACGGGCAGATTGCATAAGTATTTAACAGTTTTACTTCCTCAATGTTAAAGGACACTTGAGCTCACAGTTGGGCTGGACAAATGAAAATATTTGCCTGGTTACTTAAGGAATAGATTTGCAGAGCCCGTGCTCCTCTTTCACGGGGTATTTCAATCCAGACAAACATTTGTGCTCACACATACACGATTTTACCTCTAAGCCCTTTCCCCCATTGTTATGATATTTATCATTGCAACCAAAGATGTATTATGTATCTCAAGTCTCTAAATCTAAAGCATTTCTGGCACAGTCAGTTCTGTCTGCACCTGCAGTGGTTTTTTTATTCCTCAGAGTCTTTCACAAAATGTGGAAAGAAAGATAAATAAAAAGATCAGAAAACACACAAGTCAGCAAAAGGACTTTTAGGAAAAATACTTCTGAGTCCTTTATTGCCAAACGTCCTTAAAATCCAAGATTTTTGCATTGATATGAGCCTGCTGCCTTCCAAATTCTGGTAAAAACCTCCACGGAATTTCAGTTTTTGTATTAAGAAACCTCAAAAGATTTCCATTCACTTTTCAAGCAATTACCAGACCAGCTCTTGCATTAGCAGTGTTTATTACAATACATACTGGTATCAAAAGATCTTTTATGGGAATGATTCAATGAACTCTAAACCCAGTGCCTCGGAGACCTCTCCCATGAAGGGGCAGATCATTCCAAGCATTCCATCCAGGAGAGGGCACTGATGGCAAGAGAAGTCAGAGAATTGTTATAACGCAGTTAAACACAGACATCAACCTGCAGTTGGCCCTTGCAGCTGAGTCCCCAGGGGTGAGCAGGAGCGAAGGCGAGCCCGGTGTGTGCTGGCTGCAAACTGGAGCCGAGGATGGGAGCGCGTGAGGCACAAACCACAGCGCTGATAAGAGATCGCTTCGAGGAAGCACAGGGTGTATTTTTAGCCCTGTTTCAGAAGCACAGCCCTCTAACAAGCGTGGCTATGTGTGGGTTACACCTCACAGTTCCCGGGGGGGATCCCGGGGCCGTTCCGAGAAGCGGGTGATGGGAACACACGCCCAGCGCGGCTCCAGAGCTCAGCCCGGCCAGGAATTGCCCTTTTAGTGTTTACTTTGGAGAGGCACTTCCAGCAGAGCTAGGTGTGAACATCCCAGTGCTCAGTGAGCCACTGCCTCGCCCCACAGAGGGCAGTTCTGCTCCCATTTCCCTTCTCCTTCTCTTGTCCCTTCTTCTCCACTGCACAGGTTGGGCTCCCATGGCTACACCTTCCCCCCGGCCAGCTCTGACTGCACAGAACAGATTTTCCAATCATTCCATGAAATCCTGGAATGGGTTGGGTTGGAAAAGACCTTAAAGCCCATCCATTCCACCCCTGCCATGGTCAGGGACACCTTCCACCAGCCCAGGTTGCTCCAAGCCCCGTCCAACCTGGCCTTGGACACTTCCAGGGATCCAGGGGCAGCCACAGCTTCTCTGGGCACCCTGTGCCAGGGCCTGCCCACCCTCATAGACAACAATCCCTTACTAGTAGAGTTTTTTTTGTCCTTTTTTTGTATTGGACTGGTTTTTTCTGCCAATTCCTCAAGGTCAATTGTCTCCCCAGTGACATGGGTTTGATAGCTGGGACAAGGGATGCAGCAGGAACACTGGGATAAAGCAGGAGGGAGGGAGCAGGAGCTTTCAGCAGCGGTTGCTGTTGAGCAGCAGAGACCATTGCATTCACACCTGGATGTATTCTGAAGATTGTCTTTGAACCACCATCACTGACATACACTAGTTTAAGATCTAAATACCCAAAATTGTCAACTTATCCCTCTATCCATACTAATGAAAAGGGAAAGAGTTAGTCAATAAATAGAATTGTACCAAAAAAAATGTACCGTGAGGGATAAAGTTACACACTATTTCTTTAAGGAAATAGTGACAACTGCAATGTCATGTGCTTATTTAGAGTAACCTCTGGTAGAACACATTATACAAGACAGGACATAAAACAGAAGGCAGTACACACAGAAGATTGAGAGCTACTTACCACAATGTGCTGGTAAGGATCTATGACAGACATTTTTGCTGAATTTTTACTTAAGACAACTGTCAAATATCTATTTCAATTCCACACAGGAGAGGCTTTCCCGTTTTTCAGAGCAAAGTTCAGTATGAAAGATCCTTTCCCTATTAAATTAAAAAAAAAAAATACAATTCATATGTTCCTTTTAAACTGTATTTTGTAACAGAGCAGATCAGTTCCTCTGCTTTAGGAAAGTTCCCAGTACTCATTTGTTTACCAAGCAATTAATTTCAATAAACTGTGGAGATAAAGATATTTACTTGCCTGAGTTGAAGAAGTTTCTCGTGCTTATTTTCTCTACCTCAGGGTAAGAGTGGGAATCAAATAGCTTGAATTCCAGTCATCCCAGTATTCTACAGAAAAACAAAAGAAGAGAGGAATTACATTTATCCCTTACATGCATTCTTATAGATGTGCTTCCATGCATCACCATCCCAGTTAAAACCAGGACGGAGAACTCTAACGGAGCAGCAACAGTGCCCTCTGTAAACCCAGAGAGGGAATTCCAACTGGAGCTTTGTGCCACCTCCAGGTCACCCCAGCTCTCTGGAGATGCTCAAGAGGCAAACTGTGAATCAGCTGGAAGGATTTAAACAGACCCTTCACAGGCCACTGCTTTCTGAACACCTGGTGAAGACCAGGGGCCACCAGAGACCTTCAACTTCAGAACTGTTTCCAACCACCAAAGGGAAATGCAGAAAGGAGTAACCTCCCTTAGTGTCTCTCTAAAAACCCACAGATATGCTGGACAGGATCAGTTCTCAGATCCAGCAGGACCACTGTCAGACCTGAACCACCACAGGAACTTCAGAAGCAAAAGAAGCGAAGCACCATGTGGGGCTTGGGCTCAAGGAAATGATTCCCAATCCTCAGTTCTGAAACGGCAGGATAAGCCCTAAAGAATGGTGATTGATATCACTCCCAAACCCCTGGCTCTTGAGCGATTACATGCAGGCATTACAATAACAAATCTAGTTCTGTTATGAGCACTAGAACATTACAATATCCCTTCATTAATCACGGAATTATCAAGGTTGGGAAAGCCCTCCAAGATCATTGAGTCCAACCATCAATCCAGAACAGCCAGGTCCACCACCAACCCACCACATCTCCACGTTTTTTGAACACTCCCAGGGACAATGACTCCACCACTTCCCAGGCCAGTGCCTGACCACCCTTTCCTGGCAGCCCTAACAATAGTTTGAGGTCAGAAATCACCCTGGGCTTATTTATTTGTTTTTATCTAAGGAAGTCTGAATAAGAAAGACTTCAGCACTGGAGTAAATGTGCCCAGCCATATCAGTTTTGGAGGAACTGCTGCAAACTGCAGAGGCAATCCAGAAAAGGGAACAGCAAGTGCCATCAAATCACTGTCATGAACAGGAATTTTTAAGTCATAAAGCAGAAAATACACATTTCCCCGACCACCACCAAGCACCACAATCAATTTGAGAGGATACACAAAACCAAGCCGAGGATACTGCTCTGTCCATGGAATTAAGAAAACAGGTTAAGCCCGGTTGGAGTTGTTTGTCTTGCATCCTAAAGGCAGAGTTCCAGCTCCCCAGATGATCGCTGAACTGGCTTAGGCATGAGATCATCCTCTCCGTTCCTACAACCCCCCGCCTCATTTATTTCAACATCTGCAGGAAACACGTCTGGGATGCTGCAAACAACGACCTCTTTGACTCCAGGGCCGTGCCGAGTCCCCAAGCGCCATCTGCCCCCCGTGCTGGATGAGACAAGGATGGTGCAGACAGACAAAAATGCGATCGCGTCACCACCAACGGCGTCCCGAGCGCTGCCGCGCACACTGCGAGGGAGGGACACACGGACAGAGCTCGGAGCAGGGACAGGAGGGCCAGGGAGCCTTGATGTGACTGACAAAGCCCAATATCTTGGTTTTCCACATGGCACATCCCACCCCAGCTCCTGCCGGTGCTACTCCAAGCGGGAGCTCTTGCTTTGCCCCCGTCAGTCCTTCAGCGTGCCCCACACGGAGGCAGGTACCCAAACCAGGCACCCAGGGCCAGTTCAGGCACGTGACTGCACCTGGCACATGGACACACATCCATGCCCTTCCAGGAGCCAACATCTGAGGAAGCAGCATCTATGCTGAAGTGACTCAAATACTTACTTAAGTCCTTTACATTGGACTTCATTCCTATCAGAGTTACTTGACCCTGACATGATTACACCACACCCTCTGCAAGCTCCCACCACATTATCCTTGGAGTTCAGGTTAATAGATTCTACATCTAAAAATCTTATTGAGGCAGAGGAGTCAAATACAGCACTATCAGAAAGTCCCTGTTAAACCCACTCAGAGCCATGACTAGAGTCTTGAAGAATGGTTACTTCAAACACCTTCAGTAAATAGAGCTGTGATCCCAAAATTGTCTCAACACCACCCATATACACTGTCCATCCCACAAAGCCTAATGGAAGAGTCTTCATACCATCAAAGAACATCCTGAGCTGGGAGGGACCCACAAGGACCATCCAGTCCAACCTTCAGCCCTGCACAGACACCCCAACAATCCCCCCTGTCCCTCAGAGTGTTGTCCAAACCCTCCTGCAGCTCTGGCAGCCTTGGGGCTGTGCCCACTGCCCTGGGGAGCCTGTTCAGTGCCAACCACCCTGTGGGGGAAAAACCTTTCCCTGAGATCCAGCCTGAGCCTGCCCTGGCACAGCTCCAGCCATTCCCTCGGGGCTGTCCCTGCTCCCCCCAGAGCAGAGATTGGAGCTGCAGATCCCAGTGAGCTCTGCCCTCAGCCTGCTCTTCTCCAGCAGATTTTTGCTAATTTTAAGGGTTGCACCACAAGCACACACAAAGACCTGCACTCGAGCTGGAGCTGGTGAGTCCAGCCCCTGACAGATGCAGGGGAAGCCTCTGAGCACATCTGCAAGGACACTGATATTACTAACACATTGTTTTGTTTCCCTGCTATCTGGTGGTATCCCGTTATCTGTGACTGTGCTGTTCCCAGGGCTGACAGCATTCCTTCCTAAAGGAAAAGCACCTCACAGGCTGTGCTGGGCAGCAGCACCAGCATAAATCCTGTGTGGGCAGGGCTTGGAGCAACCTGGGCTGGTGGAAGGGGTCTCTGCCCACGGCAGGGGTAGAACTGGATGAGCTTTACGGTTCCTTCCAACTCAAACCATTCTGGGATTCCTGTTGTTTTATTGACAAGGGTCCAAGTTTACAAATTACCACAGCAAGCAGCCTCTTGAACAGGCCACAGTTTAGCCTGGTCATGCAATAGAGAGACAGCTCCCCTCTAAGTGCCTGAATCTCACTCTCATCCAAAAGTGAACTCCACTTTCACCAGGCCAAGAGTGTTTAATTCTTAGGCACAGTTTCAGACACCAAGAGTAACAAGCTATCAGTGGATAGGTGGATCACTAGTTGAATCTTTTGGAGTCTTGTGGGATCTCAGCTCACTTTCACTTGTGGTGACAGACTGAAAAGGAGAAGGGATTATTGTCTGAGGAGACCGACAACAGCAGAGCAGCTGCACAGAAAGAAGTTACACACCCTCACAAAGATCATTAAAGGAACATTTTTATTCTCAGTGCTGACCCAATGAATTCCTACAGACAGTTCAGTGCTACAGGATATGTCAAGGCAAAGGACAGGAAGAACAGTGAGGTTTTCCCAATTCATGCTGAGCACGAGCCTACTCCAGAGTTAGTGTGACGGAGCAGGAAAGCTCTGAAAGTGAGTAAAGCACAACTCAGTAGAAATCTCATCACCAGAACACGTCCTCACAACTGTAAGAAAAATCATTAAAAGGAGGTTGTTTATATCAACCTGGCCAATTCCTCTTAAAAAAAAAAAAAATCAAATACATGGACAATTTGAAAAATAGTAAGTGAATAAGTATGACTCACCAGTACACTCACTAACGTCCAATCTATTATGATAAGAGTAAGGGGTACAGAATAAGCTAAGTAATGACTCAGGCTTTTTGTATGAATGTCAGCAGCCATTTATATCAAATCAGATTGCAGCATTTTATTTGGTTAGATTGATCCTGTGATTGTATAGCAGAAACAACAAATAATCTGTTTCCACATGACTTTTCCTAGCATCCTGGAAAATCACTGTAATGCTATTTCTTAACTCAGGGCTTCCCACACGAGAGGGAAGGATTACCTCTGACTCCGTGCAGGCACCCATCACCTCATTTTCACCACAAAGGGGAAAGCATTTGCTTTGCTCATGGGCCACGTGGATCCATGGGTAGAGGCCAGTGGTGTGAGGGACAAGGCCCAGTGCTGCCCTTGGGTCACAACAAGCCACAGAACTCCCCAGGATGGGGCAGAGGGGCTGGGAATGCCCAGTGGAAAGTGCTCTGGGCTGGGGGACAAGGTGGGCATCGGGCACAGGGGGGGCTCCACCTCAGAGCTCTTGTCCAACCTCAGTGATTCTATGGGTGCTCTCCCCATGCCTTGCTAAGAACCATGGGTGGAAGGAAGGATTCTGAGAAGAGCAAAAGAGCTCAACAACCTTTGTGCCCCATTTTTGGAGGGCGCTGTGGGGTGAAGCTCAGGAAGGAAGTTGAAATCGGCATAAATAGCCAGACAGGAGATTTTAAGATTGGGAAACCACACCTGACTTCCTGCCATAGAGGATGTAATAGACGAAAAGATAGTGAAACTTTTTGTAAAGATGACCTGTCAGCCTGTAGGCAATTACTGAAAGTACAGGTGACCCAGCACCCAGAGAAGGGGAGCCCTATAAATAACCCAACTGAAACGCTGGAAAATTTGCAACAGTCACTACCAAGGTGAAGTTAAATCTTATCAAGTGCTCCAGGCAACTTTAGAGGCCAAAAGTGACAAAGACACAAGTGGCAAGGTAATGGGGCCAGTTCTTTGTTGCAGTCCGTGTTACAGAAAGCTCCTGGAATAGGAGGCAAGGATGGGTGAGCCAGGGGCATCACTGCCACAGGAAACTTTGTCAGGCTGGATTCAGTCCAAGCAGAAAAAAATCCCCAACCCCTTATCTTCCTTCCTGCAAGGAATGGCCTCACCCAGAGGGATGTTCAAGAGGCTGGAAGCGTTTCTGCCTGAACACCGACACCTGGGCCACGCT